ATCCTTCACAGACTGACTATATATATATATATATATATATATATATATATATATATATATATATATATATATATATATATATATATATTATACACAATCTGTGGTACAGATATTGTGCCATCGGAATCATGGCTGAATAGGAAAACAATATGAATAATAAGAAAAGAGCAACAAGAAATGCTTTTTTTTGTCAAGTTTACCACTCACAGTTTTTGAAATTTTTTTTCAGTTTGTTCGTTTTTAGGGGGAGAAGGAAGGGACACCGCAACACACTGATGCACACGTCCGCCATTGACATCGGTCTTGAGCCATAACTTCCAAGGTTTTCAACCAGCAAGTATCCGCATCTCTCGGACCCCAACCAGGTAGTCGACAACAACCGGCCGAGGCCAATTGTTTCGTCAACTTTTTCATGCGGCTTCTCCATGTTGTAGGCTGTCCACCAGACCGTCTCTTCCAGCCCTGTCCAGCAAGTGCAAACAACGCACGACGGGGGTAACGCTTGACAGGCATGCGCAATACGTGTCCCAACCACCGCAGTTGATGCAGTGAGATGAGCTCCTCGAGCGAGTGGCTTCCACGTCCCAAGACACGCTGTCTAACTTCCACATTGCTTACGTGGTGCTGCCACCACACACGGGCAATGGACCGCAGACAGCGGTGCTCGAAGACGGATAGCCTGCGCACGTCATCTTTACGAATGGGCCAGGTCTCGCATCCGTACAACAGTACAGCACGAACAGTTGCACAATAGACCCCCCTTTGATGGAGAGACGAATGTCGTGGCGACGCCACAAATGCCTCAGCCTAGAAAAAGCGAGGCGTGCTTTCGAGATGCGCATCGAAATCTCGTCTCCAACAGCCCCACCAGCAGTGATGCAACTTCCCAAGTAGACAAAGCTCTCCACAACTTCCAGTGTCTCACCAGCAAGCGTGAGTGCAGGCAGAGGCACCTGCCAGTCTTGAAGGAGAGCCTTGCATTTGGATGGCGAAAAGCACATACCATACTTTGATGCTTCAATCGTCAAGCGGTTTAATGCAAGTTGGACGACCTGTGGATCGTCACCCAGCAAGACGATATCATCAGCATAATCCAAATCAACAACTCGACTACCTGGGAGGAGCTCAACGCCAGCGTTCAACGAATCGCTCAGAGCGTTCTTCAGGACATCCTCAATGGCAAAGTTGAATAGGAACGGAGAGATAGGGCATCCTTGTCGAACTCCACTGGAGACCACAAAGGTAGGCGAAAGCATGCCATAAGCCCTAACCCTGCCCGAGGTCAGACTGTATAGAGCGCGCAGTATGGAGACGAACTTCTCGGGGACACCGTTCCTCAGAAGGCACTGCCACAGTACTGTACGATCGACAGAATCGAAGGCTGCACGGATATCCAGGAACACAGCAATCGTTGGCCTCTGATACACATGGCGGAGCTCGAGGATCTAGCGAAGTGTGAAGATTTGATCGATGCAGCCGCGACCAGGGCGAAACCCAGCTTGTTCTTCTCGCTGCAACGATTCGCGTGTTGGGGATAGCCTGCGAAGTATGATGGACACCAGCAGCTTGCAAACGATGGGGAATAAACTTATTCCTCTGTAGTTGGAGCAGATTGTGCGCAGGCCCTTTTTGAAGATGGAGACGACTATCGATTCACCCCAAGATGATGGAACCTTCTCTTTCGACCAAATTTTCGAGAACAAAACGGTGAGTTCTCGGACCAGCGATGCGCCACCATCTTTAAATAGAGCTGGGTGAAGACCATCAGGGCCGGGAGCTTTATAACGCTTCAGGTGCCGGAGCTCCTGCTCGATTTCCTGGGAAGAGGGAGGGTCTGTTGGGGTAGACCACTCGGCCCCAGCGCGAGCGCCAGAGGTAGCAGATGGAGCTGCGGGCCAACAAAACTGCGAGCCAAAATGTTCGGCCCATCGCTCCAACCGTCGTTGAAGATTGGTGATTAAGGTGCCATCCTCTTCGCATATTGTTTCACTTATACCAGGTCGAACACCTTCGGTGACTCGAAGGAGATGGAAGTGTTTCCTGGTATTACCACAGAGACTAGCAAGCTCCATCTCCCTAGCACGTTCACACCACTAAGCTTCGCGGTCCATTTGCAGACTCCTGCGCAATTCTCGACCAAGGTATTGGCGTTCTTCAACGTGTCTCGAATCCGATGGGATCAAGCGGCGTTTGTCCATCAGCGACAAGGAGTCGGCGGAAATCCAATGTTTCGGTGGGTGACGGGTAACTCCACAAGTGTCGATACTGGCGGAAACTAACGCATCTTTGATATGCGCCCACTGCGAATCGAGATCACCGTCAATAGTTGAGCCAAGCAAAGTTGACAGTGAGGCTTGGTACCTGGTTAAAATCGCAGGGTTTTGTAGATTCGAGACGTCCGGTCGGTAGTGGGCGCGCTTAGGTGATCCTCAGAAACGCATGCAAATCTTAGCACGAACCAATGCGTGATCAGAGTCCAGAAAAGTTGACCAGTACGATCGGCAGTCCATTACGCTTCCGCGCCATCTGTAGCTGATTGCTATGTGGTCAAGCTGGGAGAACTCTTGCGTTTGTGAGGGCGGGCGCCAGGTAGCAGTCTGTCTCCTCGAATGTCGAAAACTAGTGCTCGAAAGAAACAAGCGATGATCAGAGCAAAGAGCAAGTAGTCTGTCTCCATTGTCTGATCGACTGCCACCGAGACCAAAACTACCCCCAATGTGGTGCTCGCTTGGTAGAAGGCGGCCAACCCGTGCGTTAAAGTCCCCGGCAAGAATGACTATATCCGTCCGTTTGGAGGGACGCAGAAGTTCATGTAGTTGTTGGTAGAAGCTATCTTTAACTGCATCCGGGCTGCAGTCTGTAGGGGCGTAGGCGGAGACGACAAATAAGGCACGCTTAACATCTCGACGCCTGCTTACGTTACATGAACCTCTTAGTCTGACTGCACATAGTCGGCTGTTGACTGGGATCCAGTCAAGCAGAGCAGATTCAGCCCTGGCACTTAATACAATCCCAACACCAGCTTGACCAGTGGCGGCAGATTCTGGGTCTCCGGAAAGCCGCAAGTAGTATTTGGCGCTCGTGAAAGCCAGATTCGTGAACAGCAAACCGGGTTTCGTCGGGGTCGTGGCTGCATTGATTACGTCTTCACCTTTCGTCCATGTTTGCACCACCGCCACACATAGTGGCGGCCCACGGTAGCCGTGTTCCTCGACAGCAAAGGTGCCTTCGATTCCGTTGATCGATGTGCCCTTTAGAATCGTCTACTCAGGAAAGGTGTGCCCGAGAAATATGTAAATATTATCCAAGCATTATACGTGCGTAACACGGGCAGAGTGAGGGCTTACGGCAAGCTGTCGCCACCCTTCAATGTCTCCAGAAGTGTGAGACAAGGATGCCCGCTGTCACCCTTCCTCTACAACTTCGCTATTGACGAAGCCATGGAGATTGTATTTACAGGACATGACTTGGAAGGTTTGCAGCTACTCCCAGGAGAACGACTACTTGACTTGGAGTACATAGACGACATTGCCCTAATCTGTGACAGCTCCCAGACGTGTCAATCCGCGCTGGACAGATTAACACTGGCTGTCAGCCGCTTCTGGATTTGTTTTGCAACATCGAAATGCTAAGCGTTCCTCCAAGATTGGCAGGGATCGCCTCCTGCGCTGACCCTTGGTGGAGATCAGCTAGAAGTCGTTCGGAAATTCAACTACCAGGGAAGTCGTATCAACGCCCTTGTGTTCGAAGACGAGATCACGAACCGTATAGCAAAAGCTCGAAGTGCTTTTGCTAACCTTCGCCACCTATGGCGGCGGCACGACATTACTCTCGCCCTGAAGGATAGAGTGTACAATGCAGCGGTACGTTCGACCCTACTCTACTGTTGTGAAACCTGGCGCCTAAAATCGGCGGACATGAAGAGGCTAGTTACGTTCGACAATCGGTGCCTTCGAAGTTTGGCTCACATCTGGTGGGAACACCGCGTGAGTAACGAGCGTGTTCGACGCCTTGTTTACGGCATAGGAAAAGGAACTGAACCGCTCAGCACCGTCATTTCAAGCACCAGACTCCGACTGCTGGGCCACGTGTTGCGCATGCCAGCCCACTGACTCCATCGACGTGCCTTTTTTGCTCACTTGGGATTTGGATGGAAGAAGGTTAGGGGTGGCCAAGCGATGACTTGGTCCAGAGGAATGAATGCGCTCACTTGGCTGCTGGTCTCGGTTGGAGCTTCACGGCTCCCTGGTTGGGGTCCAAAAGACGGTGAACACGTTTGGCTGGATACACTTGCTGACATGGCAAGGTTCCGAGCTCATTGGCGTTCGTACTGTGAGTTTCTTTGTCCCTCCCCATCCCTTTTATCCTCCCCCTCCACCTACGATTTCATTTCGTAGCGTAAAACCGAATAATTTTCTTTCTTTTTGCCTAGTAGCAGCTGATAGCTTACCGGAACGATGCCTATCCATTGCTGGTAGCTCAGTTGGCATGTAACTTTTGTATTTATTTGCCATTTTCTTTTACGTATTTCGGTGTTTCCCACCTCTGGCTGACGTGTATATTTATGATGAAGGGTGCGCGTCCCCGAGACATACTCAGTCCGCGTGCGAATGGTGGTGTTGCACGGCAGCGGAGCGCCATTGCGGAGTACAGCTGACGTATTTCACACTGATTCTGGAGATTGAAAGCCAGGTGTTCAACAAACTTTTCTATTGGTGTACCGTCACTGATGTAGTTCGCAAGGAAACGGGCTTTTTGATCAATTTAAACGAATTGCCCGAAAGAGCGGTATTATTCGTACCTTCTTCCTAAGCACAGAATGCGCCGTCCGGCCATCCTCGAAACAAAGTGGATTTGACCCCGTTTACTTAGGTCTACATACTGTGTCGCGACAAGTACTCTGCCATCATCACACGCAGTGTTTTGCGCTTAGCCAACATGTTCGATTACCTGCAACAGTGGACTACTGGCCAAGTAAATCGATCCCTCTCACGTGACTTCAGGTGAGTTGCCTGTGTGGCTGAATTCAAATGTCACGTGTAGATGGATAAGTTGATAAACCAGTTATCTACCGGTCGACTGCGCTATGATTGGGAGACGAAGCTAGCGCCGCCCACAGATGGGCAACAAGCCATCGAATTCAAACAAGTCAGTTGTCAAAAATTCCACTACGAGACCATCCGGCCCCATTGGTTGCAACAGCACAGTACCAGCCACATTAAGTCATTGCCCTTTTGATAGCACGATACATGAGTGTTGTAGGAAGACCGACGGTACGGATGGCAGACCAAACAACCGGTTAAAGGAAAAAGCAACCAATCGTACACCCCTTGCCTTCCACTGTCAAGGTGCCCTTTGCGAAAAACACCACGGCGCGTTGACTTCTAACTCGATCTATCCCCTGATAATGGCAGAAGACACTATCCCACTTATGGCAAAAAAACGGACGCCAGTAAATAAAACCTCAACTGGAAGCAATTCAAACGCAAGTTGTGTTGCTTCTCGTGCTGGCAGTGCAAACAAGTATCATTCGGATCAGAATTTCTGCCAGTCAGGTTTGGGCTACCCTCACACGGAAGCTCAGCTATACCGTTTAGCGGACTGCAAAAGGTCAGGCCGACGAAAAGCTAGAACAAAGATGGGGCACGTTCCCGAATGTCAAGTTTACGAACAGAATACCCATTCCCAAACACTTGTTCAGTCAAGTGGTTCTCGGAACTCAATTGGTCCTTTGTTTGCAGCAGTACCAAGCCTACAACGGTTAAAAGACCTACTTGAGACCTTCAGCTCGTTATTTTCTGTGCTTCCAGACGATCTCCGGAACTCCAACGAGAAACTACTAGATTTTCAGCTCTTGAGCTTTGGGGATGAGGACTCGATCCAAGCGTTTTCCTCTAGCTTGAACTCAATGCTAGCAACCATGCGTAATCTTATTCCATCTCTGGAACGGCACATATTCGTTGCACAGGATCTTTCTTATGCTCTACATAGACTGGAGGAAAGAATGGCTACCTTTCATAAACTTTTGACACAAATGAAAACTCGTCAGGCTGCCATTAAGTACTAGTCTAAATCGCTGTTTTGAGCATTCAGATCGTGAAATTTTGCTTGAAACAACCTGAACTTCTTCGTAAGGATGTATAGTGTACAAAATTTTCACACACATCCAAGAGGATACTCACAGGTATTTTACAGTTAAGAGGAGCTGTCGGGTAAAAATATGAGACGAAACACGGCATTTCAAAACCTACCCGTTATTTTAAACTTTTGGTGGGTTTATGTTATCCGGTTCCGAAGTTGTGGAAAAGTGTACGATTGATAGTTCCATATTCTACTTGAACGAAGGTTGATTAGCAAGAGCTGAGTTCAGAATTAAAATTTATGGGCCAAAACTAAGCTATACAAATGCACCGACGTTTAATGTTGGTACGGCATACTCAAAAGATGACCAAGAAATCTTGGTAATTGTGTCTGATCGGTAGTACGTATCCCTAATGCCAAATAGGAAGACGCGATCCAGCGAGAAATCTAAATGTACTAAGCTGAGCTTCAAGATCAAGACAGGAACACTGTGAATTTTATGGCTGCACCAGAGCCTGGCTCTTTCTCGCTTCAAGCAAACTTAAAGCATAATGATTAATAACGACTGGTCAACAGCAAAAAGGGCATCAGTAGTACGTCTGTACCCCGGACCGAGACTTGGCTGCCACGCTTCCATTGCGAGTCCTACCCGGTCTCCAGGTCTCGTGACGTAACCAATATCTAGGTTCAAGCTGCCAGCAACCTTATACTAATCGGCCGCCGGCCAGTAAGATGCTAACAATCATGTGAAGATGAGGAGCTATCGATGAGGTGTCGTCCTTGGTTTCGTTGTTAGGTTTCAACTTTTACTGATACAGCTTAATCGGGCCATACACGCTTTTACTGTGCAATCCGGTGAGAAAAGAGCGCAATTATTACGACACATTTTCGAATAGGCAACACACTCCAGTAAGCTGCTCTTCGCTTGAAACTAACCGATATTTTGTCATTAGAGTGTTGTCAGCATGTAATTTCAGTGTTGATTATCTGCCTTCTATGCAACGAAACGCAAAACCACGTAGGGTACATCCGGCTGTGTGCCAGACCATTAAAGTGGGAAAATACCCTTGCGGAAACTAACTATAACTACTTGATTTGAGCGATGGGAATCTGTTAAGAATAAGTGGCAGTTTATACTTTTGCAGCTAGGAAGGATTGTAGGTTTTTTCCTAAATTCGTGTCAAGCGACACGGGTGCGTTTTTCTTCCCCGTACCAGGTTCCGCACTGATTCGTGAACAATGATCTATCAGCCATTTCTAACCATCCCTACACAAGTGGGGCGAAGGCAGGTTCATGAGGACCTTGTTAGGAAACTATCAGATAATCTGCAACGTACATAATATCCCAGAACGATCCATGATGCTTACTGGTACCCCCGTCCCAACTGCGTACTCCGTTCAGGACTTGAACATTTGAGACTCTAGCGTCTTCAACTTCTCCGAACACATTCTACATAGAGTAGTGTAAGATTCATCGGTCGAATGTTGAATAACGCGAAACCAATAATCTCTTAATCAGAAAAACTTTGGAGCACCATGTCTACGGTACTTTTTAACACCATCATGAAGTCTTCCCTCACGAAATGTCACGATACAGGCGTTGATATGCTGCCTGCTGAAATGTTACCTGATCTGGATTACGCGGGCAATATCGTCTTGCCTTCTGACGATGTTGCGTCCTCACTATCAATCTTGAATGGTCACTCTACAGTTGTCCCATTATTTGGTATGCACTTCACACCTTGAAAGCGCAAAATGTTGCTGCAAGACCACCAGCTATTTGATGACCCCTTGACCCTAGATACCAAGAACCTCAAGGTAGTTGATCAATTAACTTATCTTGGTAGCTGCATGAGGAACGAAGAGCACATAAAGACTTAAGTCAATTCACACATTGCAAACGCCAGAACTACCTTCTTGAAGCAATAGTATCTTTAGCGACAGAAGGGTTTCCGTCTGAAAGGCCGTGTTTACAAGACACAGTCAGGACAGTCCTGCTCCATGGGGGTGAGACTTGGCCTCTTCTGTCTGAACTTCTGAGGCGCCTTCAAATCTTTGATCATCTTTGCCTTCGGAGCATTCCTGGTGCCGGGTGGCACCAGCGTGTCCGCAACGATGGTGTGCGTAGGCGAGTACTAGGTAATGATAACCAAACTATAGTTCCTTAGTACAACAGATAGCAATGATTAAGTTGCGTTGGCTCGGGCACGTGTTACGTATGCCTGGTCACCGCTTACCTAAGAGGGCCTTATTTAGTCTGGCAGGTATAGGGTGACGCAAGGCTCGAGGTGGACAGAAGTTGACTTGGCAGCGGGAAATGAAGTCACTGACGACCAAATTCGCCTTCCAGGCTGGGGTCAACCTGACTCGCCTTGTGCTTGGCTCGAGACTTTACAGGACATGGCTCGCAGTCGGCACCAGTAGCGTATCTGCTGCGGTCCTAATCGGATTGCCTGTTTAAAGGGTGACTGATTCTGAATTATCAGCGGGCTACTGGCCGATGATGACAAGTGACAGTGAAAGCCGCAAGGAATTTGCCTTGCTGATGCCGTCTTATCTTTGCACGATAGCCAGCTGTTTGGGACAGTGCGTTATTAACAAGGCGTAGGCGCAGTGACCTTGAATATTTGCTTAGAGCATTAAGGTTTTTCGATAAGTCCATCTTCCTCTTATTTTTATTTATTCCACTGGTCGCATGGTTTTATGGCAGCGTAGCATCAGTTCAAATGGCTGATGTACGGCTGTTGATGATGATGATGATGATGATGGCAACTTAAAAATATATATAGTTAAGTAAATCGGGAAAACCTCAGTTGTTCGGGATCCCGATATATCCAAGTTAACAAGGAATAGCAATTAAATGGGTAGAGAAGAAAAGCGCTGTCAGAGCGCTGCTCAAAACGGACAACCAGAGGAAAAGTGAACACACTAGACATGTGAAACTACACACAACAAATCACTGGTCAAGCATTGACAGTCCAGCCACACAGTGAGGAAAGAACTAATGATTAATGGAAGGCACACACATACAAGTCAGCATGGCATCAAATTTGCGGAGCTGTGCATCCCTCGAAAAGTGGTAATTATTTCCCAACGCCAATGAGATGAAGACATCATACCTATTGCACGTGAATCTGTTACAACCCAGACAAAATTAAAATGAATTCACATATCGTTACTGAGGATTATTAGAGGCGTACCCTGACAGGAACTAATGGACAAGACTGTGAGCGTATGGAATATCGAACAATTATTAAGACACGCACATGAAGAGGGTGGGATGTGACCAAATTATTCGGCTTATTGTGGGCATGGTCTGATCCAGGAACGCGCCTCACAACCACAGTGAAAGCTCATTTGTTTGAACCGATTAGTACAGCCTAAGTGACAACAGACAGCACGTTTAAGAGAAATGTTCCAAGCAGTGCAAAGATTCGTCACAAGTAGCGACAGCGAAACTACTTCATTACCCACCTCAAACAAGGCTTGAATCAGGCGAACTCATAGTACGATCCACAATACACCGTTTCTCAACCCACTGAATAAAACCCGCCTCCAAATTCCTTCTTAAGATATGTTGTTCCCAAAATCCCTCTGGATGGTCAGTAACGCTATCAAGTTGTAATTGTACTGTAAGTTAAACGCTTAATCCTACATCAGCTGACAAGATAACAAGTGAAAATACAGAGTGGGGTACTACTGGGTGGGTTGGGTTTTGTCACTCAACGAAAAGTAAAATTTAGAAGCGTTCGTGTTCATTGTTGCAAATTTATAGGCTTATGAAGTATCTTGAGAGATGTATGGGGAACATGATTTTACTAAGGAGGAAGTTGCAATCGACTAGGACGCCACTGACTGAGAAATGGCATAGATTAGTTCTCCATCACACAAAACCATCTAAGCAAGACAGCATCGTTTTGGAAATTCTCCAACACTCATCTGCCAAAATGGTCATGTGGCGCTCATCAAAGCTTAAGTATGAGGAAAGACGTACTTGCTTCGTGCATGACCCACTCTTGATTCGACGAGCGCAAAGCAATCTTACTCTTTAAATCATACATTATATCCATTTCGAAGTCAGAGGAATTTGCGGAGAAATTTTCTTTGATAAATCTCGTCAGACATCTACAATTTCAAGGTGCATAATCATTGGCATCGGTGCTATCAATAGCGATGCAGCGAATTGTTGTGCGTGATTCGACCAGAGGGATGGCGGCAACTAATATCAAGGTTAACCCAATGACATAGATGATTATGCCTGATGTCAGCTAATCAGGCATAATACAGGAAAATATATACGCAAAGCTCAACCAGAACGATTACCGCGTTACAAAATGAATCAATCTATATCACTGGTAAGGGAAAAGATCTACCATTCTAACAGAAGATCAGGCAAAATATTCATTCAAATTTTTTCTTCATGAGGTAAGGAAAACTACAGAAAAGACTACCTTTACAATTAAGGAGTAGCGGGTGCCCGTCTACACTTAGATCTCATTTAAAATATTTTTCTCTCCATTTCAAATGTAGTCAAACTCTCTGACCTCCAGCAACCTACGAATGCACTCGTGAAATCCGGCCCGACAAACATTTGACAAAACATATCCCGTTTGTCTGAAAATATACACAGTTTATTTTATTTTTTTATTTTTTTTTATTTGAAATTCGAGGCCCCAGAATGCTCCGTAGGATGACTAGACTTCACGTTACGTAGTCAAGAATGGTAAGCGTCACCAGTTTAGGCGGTTGTATAGGAAGTGATGGAACGATGTTATATTAGTGCTAGGGTGCGATGGGGCGAAACTAATGTTGCATGCTAAAGTACAAAACAATGTGGGAGCATTTGCAAAGATGACGTTTCCTGCATCAAAATGAAAAATCTCACTAAACCAGTTTTCTTATTGTTGACGGGATATATAAAACAGCATAAGTAAATCCTAAAAATGTGTTACTATGGCGCAGTTTGTGGAACCAATTTCTGGGAGCTACGCGCTATATGCGATCCGATTTCCAAGGTTGTCAACATAGGGAGGAAGCCACCGGTCTTGAAAGGACTTCCACGGTTGAGAGACCAGGAAGGAAAGGTGATTTTGTCACCACTTTAGACGGCTGTATAGTCCACTGATCTTTAATTAGCTGCCCTTAAAGGTTTGTCACCATG